TGTATAGTTATTATGTGTAGTTTTGCGCAATTAGTAAAAACAGGTGTCCGAAAACTTTTGTCTAGGGTGTGTATGTACCGTCCCGATGGTTTAACGGCTAAAGAACTAGCTGAACATTATAAACTCTTACAATCTGTTAGAGAAGAAATGCGCCAGGCTATCGGTGAATAGATATACTTTTGTTCCGAAATCTGAGTTTTTTATCAATATATATTGCTTTTTAGATAAAATAAGTCTAGTGAATAATCTATATATTTTTCCATATTCACTCTAACTTCATACCGGCAGGATCGGTCAGCTCAATAATATGAGTAGCAGATAGAATGTGGAATACACAGAGTGATTTTATCTGAAATATATATCTACCTCAATTTCAACACCGGCTGGATACATGCATCTCTACAGAGTGGCGAGTAAGATATATACTATATTCTATATAAAAAAAATGGCGGGAAAAATATTATTATTTGATTGATTGCTTACATTAAACTTAGACATCTTTTTATATGAAATCGAAGAAAAAAGTCTCTATTACAGGAAATGGAGATAAGTTATTCAAGCTAAAAATTTTTAATCATAATGTAATATCTTTATTACGCATTTTTGATGACTTGATCTCTTTTTCCAGATCTAGAGGATTCATCCAGCCGATCCTAATGGACATAGGATCAGAAATAGGCACAGTGGTATCGAAGACAATGAATTCGCCATCCCGTAAATAATTATTGATGATTTTAGAAGCTTTACGTGGATCTTCTTCTATGTATTGTCTTATAATTCGTGCAATATCTTCTGTGGATCCTCTGCCATTAAATAATACAAGATGCGTTGCATTCTCACGAATAATTTTTGGAACTTGAGTAAATTTATGTGAAATATAAATAGCAGAGATATTGTTATGACGTCCTCTATTAAAAAATGAAATGATACGATTTTGAATCGCTGAAGATTCAGTACACATATCCTCAAAAATAAATACTGTACGTCTTTTTGGATTTTTAAACTGCTTTAGATCTGGAATTTTATCAGGTGTAAATGTAGTAAAAGTAACATCTTCATAATACGGTTTGGAAGGATCTGCTATTTTCTTATAGAAATTTCGAAGTAATCGGTATTTGGGTTCATTGGTATGGTGCCCTACTAATACGATATCATTACATCGTATATGACGTTCACCAATTCGTTTTTTTTTCATTTTCATATCATAATATTTATCTCCGGAAAAGAGATATACCACTATATTGGATTTACCGGTGTTTGATCTTCCAGACATTACAATATAGAATGGCCACTTTGGAGCGTCTTCATCGTCTAAAGATTTCTTCGATGGTTTAACTTCATCGGTATGATATATATAATAGTATTTCATTCTGATATAATTTTCGAGATAAAATATTAGACACAATTTTGAATATATTAATATTTTTTCTTGCCAAGAATGATCGGCATGAAGATTCTTCATGCGCACGTGCTATTTTTTCTTAATACTAATACTAATATATATATATAGTATAAACATGACGAACCTTACTGAAGCTCAAATTTACGCAGAAAAACGTGGTGGAAAAGCTCTCATTCAAACCGGTCCTACAACTTTCTTATTTTCGTGTCATAGAAACCACTTATGGGAGAGACCACTCGAAGTTATTACGAAGAGGTACGACTGGTGTCCTCTATGCCCATGTTCAAGAGGAGAACGTACATCAAGATATATATTCGAAGATTTGTTAGGAAAAAAATTCCCATCTCGTGCACCAAAATTCTTGAATGGATTACGGCTTGATGGATATAACGAAGAATTGCAACTGGCATTCGAATTTAATGGCAAACAACATTACGCTCTTAATCCAATGTTTCATAAAAGCGGGCAAGATTTATATGAGCAAAGAAAGCGCGATCAAAAAAAGCGGAATATATGTAAGGAGCAAGGTATATGCCTCATCGAAATTCCATATGACGTAGATCTTTATAACTTTATCCGAGGATCCCTAATCAAGAACGGCTACCTTCAAGACTGTTCCAATTGACAATGGCGCATTTCGAAAATGCTCTGGTTTTGAAGTTACATGGTTAACGGTTTGATAATGATATTTTTGGATAAATTCGTCTGGTGGGTATTCTAATTTTTCCATATCTACGATTTGCAATTCTTCCCTCTTGAATGGTCTACGAGGATTACGTCCCATTAAATGTTTTGTAGATTCAATCGCTTCCTTTTCAAGATAATATAAGACTGGCTGTGGCAGATTTTTCCCAACGACGACTTTTCTGATTTTATAAATACGTAATGACCAATATGGATCAGTTGCACAACGTCTGTGACCTCCTTCCAATTCTCCGGGTTTAAATAAGTATCGAACAGAAGTACCCTTTGGTAGTGTTATCTCATCTTCTCCGATCAGTCTCTTGGGTTTTATGGAAGGTTTAGATATCACTTTTTCCAACGTCATAGCATGGGATGGGTCATTCCGATTAATCGTGTAGGACTGTTGTTCATATAGTCAAAAATTACTTCGAGAATCATATTCCACAATGTCGAACGTTCTCCTACTGGTAATTTAGATTCTATTGCATATTGAATCTTGTATATTATTTCTGCTAATCTTCGTTTCAATGCTTTGACCAATGCTAGACTTTCGAAACTATAAAGGTCGACAACCCAGATAGAAACATTATATCGTTGCATTCCCCGTGAAAAATATCCAGAGAATTCTTTACCGCCGTCCAGCATCAATAATTTTGGCCATGTAAGGGGGGATGTAGGATCTTCATATATTTCTTTTATAGCATTCCAAACTTCTAGGCTATTTTTTGATGTTAATGAACGTCCATTTTTATAGCGTCCCGCGATATCTATAACCACTAAAGTATAGAGGTATATTTTTTCACCATCCTGATCATCATGACCATGTGGCAATAAATCGCACTGATGAACTTTATTAGGAATGAATACCTTCTGGAATCCCACCCCCGCTTTGCATTTTTGTGGAAAAAGATGTATTTGATGAACATACTGGTTCTTTAACCACTTTGAAATATCTCGTAGGCGGAAATGATTGTATCCTTCTTGTTGACAGGCTTGTAATAATTTTTTAGCATTTGTAACAAATCCAGGTACGTGGTAGTAGATTATACGAAGAACGATTTTTAACTCCTCATCAGCACTGATTATAATAGTAGGTACACTCATTGCCATGATCGCGAAATGTTATAATTGATACTATAAACTAAGGCTAGATATTTGATATGAATTTCCAAACCGATCCTGCGTACTTACAACTGCTAGATACTAA